AAAAAAATTATGCTTTTCTATGAAAATAAAAAGCAAAGTGCTAGCAAATTAGTTAACATAGTAAAACCTCACTGAGGAATAATCTAAGGTTCATAGGGTAACAATAGATTCAAAAGGGGAAGAAAGTTTTTCTCCAACAGAAAGCCACTTTAACAGAGGGGCAATTATTTTAAATCAGTATGTAAACTCCAACCGAGATTTCACTCTATTTTATCGAAGCTCCATTATTATGTAACACCACTAATAACCAAACACGCAATGCCAAAGACAATCTGTTGAGGCTGAGTTGCCATGACCCCCGCCCCCAAAACGGACCACTTTTATCTTGATAGAAAAGGTACTAGAAAACCAAATAAAACCATCATCTGTTAAAATATATTCAGAAGTATACAGTAAATGTAAAAATAGATGGGAAATGTTTAAGAAAATAAACTAGGTGAATTTTAAATATAAGCAATATTTAGTATGAAAAATACATTTACACAAGTAACTACACGCCACATTAAGTTATAATTAAAAACTGACAAATCTACAAACAATGTTTAACCCAGAACAGAAAGCTTTTTTCCCAAGTAAGTTCAAACAGAAAAAAACCCAAACTTTTCTTTTTTGGTTGGGGGGAAGGGGCATACTGCGCATGCTTGCCTAATCTTAGTCCCCTGGCCGGGGATCCAACACAGGTTCTGGCAGTGAAAGTGTGGGGTCTTAACCACTGGACTCCCAGGAAGTCCCTGAAACCCAAACCTCTCGTTTCCACAGAAATTCAACTTTGATATTGACAGCATTTTTCTTCTGATCAAAATCCAGTAAACTCAATTACCAAAAAGTCTAAAAATCATCTCTCCAATCCCAGTCTCTTTACTCCTTTACTTCGCCTTTAAATTGCAGATAGGTTGATTTTTCCAAAACATGTTTTTTGGTAAACACCCTTTACTCAAAAGACCTCAGTGCTACTACCTCTGACCACATCCTCCCACAGTTCAAAGGACATTAAGTTCCTTAGCCTGGTAACAAAGGCTCCAACTTCCCTTTCTGGCCTCCTCTTATAACTCTCCTAGAGGAATCTTCTCCAATCAAATCATTTGACCCACTGACTTCAGAATTTCACATTGCAATTTCATAATTAACAAAACAGCTTATTCTAAAGATTAACACTATGGAAAGCAAAGCAAATTTTCTAAACATGTTTAAAAATGGTAAGAATGAAATGTATTCAAACCTTATATATTTTAAGAGACTAAGTTAACGTCTTGTTGCTGCTGTTCAGTTGCTAAACTGTGTCCGACACTTGCAACCCCATGGACTGTAGCCCACCGGGCTCTTCTGTCCATGGGATTTCCCAGGCAAGAATACTGGAGTGGGTTGCTATTTCCTCCTCCAAGTTAATGTCTAGTTATCACCTAAAATGACTGAAAAAATCTGGAATAGAACCAGACCTAGGGCGTCCCTGGGTGGCACAGTGGTTAAGAATCCACCGGTTAATGCAGGAGACACAAATTCGATCCCTGCTCTGGGAAGAACCCACATGCTGCATGGCAACTAAGCAGGTGCATCGCAACTACTCAGCCAGCATCTAGAGCCCTGGAGCCCCAACCACAGAGCCCATGTGCCGCAACTACTGAAGTATGGCCTAAAGCCCGTGCTCCGCAACAAGAGAAGCCACCTCAATGAGAAGCCCACGCATCACAATGAAGAGCAGTCCCTGCTTACCACAACGAGAAAAGACGGCACTTAGCAACAAAGACCCAGCACAGCTAAAGATAAATAAATCTTTATACACACACACACACACACACACAGAACTAAACCCATATCGTCTCTCAAGATTTTAAGATACCCATACGGCAAAGCCACCATTCATTCCTGAATGAAAACTTAGGTGACAGAACTAGTTCGGATAGCACAAGAGATGTGGAAAACCTGGACAGTTTCTACATACTTGAACTCCCCTGATAATATTTAATTATTCACCATGAGGACCCAAACTGTTTCTAAATTCTGCAGGCCAGTAAGTTACCACTACTTTCGCAGTGAAAGTACTTCCCTAATTTCACCCTACAATGTTTTAAAAAATTTGTTTTAGAGGAAAGATAACTATTTTCATAAGCATAAATGGTTAGGAAGTTTTGGCTGTAATCAACAAACTTCTGAGCACTGAAGTTTAGATCCTAAACTTGAGAAAATTAACTTTCTCCAAATTATTAAATAGTTTAAAACTTATTTAAACTAAACCACTGGAATAAAATGAAGTAGAACATAAAGGCATACAACAGTTCCACAGATCCTTTAGATAGGAACCGGGGGCCTGTTTGCAGTGTGGGAGGGGGTGGCTTCTCAGGGGCTGAGTTTGCCCTTTTCCCCTCTCCCCTGCCTCCTACCTCCAGCGGGGATGGGCCGGCTCTTCTCTGGAGTTTCTCAGTCCCTTTGTTTTGCGAACCGCCGGCAGTGTGTTCTGTGTTCGGGCCAGTTAATTTTGACCCTTGCTATCCCACAGTTTAAAAAAGCTCCCTCCGATTGCTCTCAGGGTCTTCGGGCCGGTCCTCACCCTAAGCAATGCCGCCCGCTCCTCTCCGTTCCACCCCACTTGTTGCTGGCGGGTACGGGCGTCTGGGGTACTTTTCTGCTGGGAGTTGCTTTTAGGCACGTAATCTGTGGGCCTTGTTTAATTTTTCCTTCCAGTTAGATTGTTGAAAACTTCCCCCAGTCCCGCCAGTGCGAGGGTTTCCTGGTGATTGGAAACTTCCTCTATTAAGACTCCCTTCCCGGGACGGGTCACCGTCCGTAGCTCTTTTGTCTCCCTTTTTAGCTTTTATATTTTGTCCTACCTCCCTTCGAAGACAATGGGCTGCTTTTCTGGGCGCCTGATGTCCTCTGCTAGCGATCAGAAGTTGTTTTGTGAAATTTGCTCAGCGTTCAAATGTTCTTTCGATGAATTTGTAGGGGAGAAAGTGGTCTCCCCGTCCTAGTCCTCCGCAGTCTTGGCTCCTCCCTCCAGTTCCACAGATCCTAAATCCCTTTGCTAAGATATTTACTTTTTGTAGAAACAGTACCTGACATTTATGGAAAAAGAAAGCAAAATAAAAAACTTCTTTTACAAGAAAGAAAATACAGAGACTTGGTTCAAAATTTTCAGAGGACAAAGTGTGTATTAACTTAACCAGTAAATCCGCTTCTTCCTGGAGATACAGACAACCACACACAAAAAGAGAGGGAGGCAGTATCTGAGATATCAGGTTATCTGATTATGCCCACGTGCTGCATATGCAAATCTACAGCAAAGGCAGAAGAAACGAAAGGCAAGAATCAAAGAAAGTTACAGAAGAAAGGAGTAGAGAGTCAAGGGGACAGTTGGGAGTAAGGATAGAAAGAAGGGGAGAGAGCTAAATGTAAAAGACTAGAAAGAAGAGGAAAAATAAATCAACAAAAAGAGAGGCAGTGTTGCTGAGGTACATTTGCCACAGAGACATTACTCCCAAAGGTAATATGCCACTCCCAGGAAGTAACTGATAAATCATTTGAAAACCATTCTTAGAAAATCTGATTCTTAAGAAGAATTAAACCCAGAATCTTTTCCTAAATGCTCTCAAATTGTATACTTTTATTACACTTACTTACAATTATTGTAAATTATAAATTTTTATTTTTGAATTTTAACCTCAGAATCTGTTTGAGAAGTTCTAAGTTTAAACTAACACCTGATTTGTTATACTCTCAAGTGATACATCAGTATTAATCCCTTAAAAAAAAAATACAGTAACTTCTGGGTATTTATATAACATAATAGAGGAGAAAAACAAACAGCAACAACCACACACACAAAAAAAACCTAAAAAAATGATAAAATTTCTTAAAGATAGTATGTCTTAATCAGGGTACCTATGAAAGTGATGCAACATACAGCAGATGGGATCTGAAACAAGTACTTTATTTTTAAAAGGTGCAGAACTAAAAGAATTGGTGAGGTGAATGGCCCTGGAGCTGGTACTGGAAATACAGAAAATATTTTAAAGAGAGGAACTAGTAAAAATCCAGGTGAGGTGAATGGCCCTGGAGCTGGTACTGGAAATACAGAAAATATTTTAAAGAGAGGAACTAGTAAAAATCCAGGTGAGGTGAATGGCCCTGGAGCTGGTACTGGAAATACAGAAAATATTTTAAAGAGAGGAACTAGTAAAAATCCAAAGTCAAGAAGAGTTAATGAAATGCCTTTAAAGACAGAAGATATGAAATATTAACTAAGATTCTACCTTTGTCTGGTCTTCCAAAACAAAAGGGTATTCCTGACTGGTCTGGGTACCTTTAGCAGGACTCATGAAGGGATGTTAGTGAGAATTTTTAAAGATGTTTGAAGCTCTGAAAAGAGTACCATAGACTCCTACAATCTTTCCAGGTCACAGGGAAGATTGTGTGACCTTAGAATCTCTTCATAGCTTTTTCTCACAACATTCTTTCCAATACAGGGCTCAATAACTAAACAATAGGCATTTAGGCCTTTTCTTTTTGACCTTAGACTACATTTTACATTTGTTCACCAGAAAGACCCTCTTCAAAACTGACACACACCATGATAGTTTTATCAGAAAGTATCTAACCATAAAGTAAGTGGCACAATTTAGCCAGAATAATTTCAGAACCATTCTACCTCTAAATTCTGAGAGTTATCAGTGAGAGGTTTGGTTCTTTGGGTTTGACTTTTGTATGTTTTCTCCAATTGTTCATTTTCTCCAACTTTCCAACTGCCTTACATAGCCACTATCCTTTTACCCTCCTTCTTTACTTTCCTCCTATATGTACAGATACACACAAAAAGAATGTCAGTCCCGTTATGTGTGTATATGTATGTGTGTAAACATGTATATGCACATATATACATACTAAAATACACATGGCCAATATCAGAGTATAAACCGAAGACATGAATAACATCGCAGAACAGGAGTAAATTCATTTATTCTTATTTCTAAGCTAAAACACAAATGTGGTTAGTTACTACAACTCACCAGATGGTTCCTCAGGCTCACTTTCATTTTCTTCCTCAGGTGGGGCTTGAGGGGGTGGTGGAGGAAGCTTCTTTTCCTTCTCTGCTTTAGCATTTCTCTCTTCTTCTGAATAATACTCGTCTTCTGAGAGGTTGGCCAAACTTTCATCCATCTCTCTGTACTCTACCTATATGGAGATTATACCAGGGAAAGCTAAATACAGTGGACATCTGAAGTCAGAAACTCTATTTGAAACCGTAGGTAAATATGAATTGCTTTCTATCTTCAATTTTTAAAGGAAATAAGCAGAGAACAAAGAACAGGTTAGCTCCTAACAGGTAACCATTAAAAACAAAATCTCTCATGAAACAATCTAATGTCAGTTCAGATTTAGCCCAAACTCACTTTCACAGTACTGAAATTCAAATCAATGACTCTGAGGCTCTCTACAACTAAAAACTGTGTTTGTGCATGATCTATATGTAAGTATATATTATGTTCACATGCTGCAAGTTTCAACAAAAGACAAACAGTCCTCGGTCAGACAAAAATATAGTCAACTAGAATAACAAGTCTGTCCAATGCCAATCTGTACTTCTAACTACTATTACATAGGAAATAGGAAAACAGCAAAAGAATTTCAGAAACCAAATCAGAGGTGCGGTGGTAGGCAGGGAATAAAAGCTGCAAATGGTAGTAGTCAAGTTAAAAACAATATAAAGGTACATTTGCTCAAAGAAACAAAACACTGGTGACTGAAGAGAGTTGAATGATTAGAGCAAAGAATCCTTATGATCACAAACTAAGAAGTAAGTCATGGGGAAATGGAGACTACAAGCCTTATTGCTACTAATTTATACTGGTTATAAGGAGGAAATCCAGGTCACAAGTAGAAAGAGGAAGCAGTCCTATTGAATGTTTTATTGTGGGATAGAGCAACTTAGGATAGAGAAGATTATTATGGACCTCTCTGTTAAAATGTGTAATGTGGTATTACAAACAAGTCATCAACCTTGCTCAGTTCACTCAGTCATGTCCAACTCTTTTCGACTCAATGGACTGCAGCACAACAGGCTCCCCTGTCCATCACCAATTCTCAGAGCTTGCTCAAACTCATGTCCATCAAGTCTGTGATGCCATCTAACCATCTCCTCCTCTGTCATCCCCTTCTCCTCCTGCCTTCAATCTTTCCCAGCATCAGGGTCTTTTCAAATGAGTCAGTTCTTTGCATCAGGTGGCCAAAGTACTGGAGTTTCAGCATCAGTCCTCCCAACGAATATTCAGGACTGATTTCCTTTAGGATGGACTGGTTTGATCTCCTTGCAGTCCAAGGGACTCTCAAGAGTTTTCTCCAACACCACAGTTCAAAAGCATCAATTCTTTGGCACTCAGCTTTCTTTATAGTCCAACTCTCACGTCCATACATGACTACCGGAAAAACCATAGCTTTGACAAAAGACTAAAATAGTCCTCAGTCAGACAAAAATATAGTCAACTAGATTAACAAGTCTGTCTAATGCCAATCTGTACTTCTAACTACTATTCCATAGGAAATAGGAAAAACCTTGAACACTGTCAAATCATCATTTTGACTCCCATCCCAATAAAGATTTCAAGAAGCCACAGAAACAACAGCTGCCTATCCTGGATTCAATGAAAAGACAAAATGAATAAAATAAACAATAATTTACTGGCTGTGGAGACAGGGCAAGGACAACATGGCTTCCACATAAAACACACCTAACTTACTAGAGTTCTGAAATGTGAAATCCTGTGGATTAGAGAGAATATAATCTATTTTAATTTTTGAAACATCTCTGAAACAGCTCCAGGTTGCTGGCTGCTATTATCTGTCTTCTTTTTTTAAAAGTGACATGACCACAGATTTGGGGAGTCAGTAGCTAAGGGAACAGAGGTAAGAGTTTTACTGAAAACATGTATTGGATTAGAAAATGGAAACAATTATGTAAAAACTGAATAGTTTTGACGTGCTCTAAGAATCTTCAAATCTCTTATGATTATACAGTGGAAGTGAGAAATAGATTGAAGGGGCTAGATCTGATAGAAAGAGGGCCTGATGAACTATGGGTGGAGGTTTGTGACATTGTAGGGAGACAGGGATCAAGACCATCCCCAAGAAAAATAAATGCAAAAAAGCAAAATGGCTATCTGAGGAGGCCTTACAAATAGCTGTGAAAAGAGGAGAAACTAAAAGCAAAGGAAAAAAGGAAAGATATACCATTTGAATGCAGAGTTCCAAAGAATAGCAAGGAGAGCTAAGAAAGCCTTCCTCAGTGATCAATGCAAAGAAATAGAGGAAAACAACAGAATGGGAAACACTAGAGATCTCTTCAAGAAAATCAGAGATACCAAGGGAATTTTTCATGCAAAGATAGGCTCAATAAAGGACAGAAATGGTATGGACCTAACAGAAGCAGAAGCTATTAAGAAGAGGTGGCAAGAATACACAGAAGAACTATACAGAAAAGATCTTCATGACCCAGATAATCACGATGGTGTGATCACTCACCTAAAGCCAGACATCCTGGAATGTGAAGTCAAGTGGGCCTTAGGAAGCATCATACAAACAAAGCTAGTGGAGGTGATGGAATTCCAGTTGAGCTATTCAAATCCTAAAAGATGATGTTTTGAAAGTGCTGCACTCAATATGCCAGCAAATTTGGAAAACTCAGCAGTGGTCACANAAAGATGGGGAAACAATGGCTGACTATTTTTTTGGGCTCCAAAATCACTGCAGATGGTGATTGCAGCCATGAAATTAAAAGATGCTTACTCCTTGGAAGGACAGTTATGACCAACCTAGACAGTATATTAAAAGGCAGAGACATTACTTTGCCAACAAAGGTCTATCTGGTCAAGGCTATGATTTTTCCAGTGGTCATGTATGGATGTGAGAGTTGGACTATAAAGAAAGATGAGTGCCGAAGAATTGATGCTTTTGAACTGTGATGTTGGAGAAGACTCTTCAGAGTCCCTTGGACTGCAAGATCAAACCAGTCCATCCTAAAGGAGATTAGTCCTGGGTGTTCATTAGAAGGACTGATGTTGAAGCTGAAACTCCAATACTCTGGCCACCTGATGCAAAGGGCTGACTCATTTGAAAAGACCCTGATGCTGGGAAAGACTGAAGGCAGGAGGAGAAAGAAACGACAGAAGATGAGATGGCTGGATGGCATCACTGACTCTATGGACATGAGTTGGAGCAAACTCTGGGAGATAGAAGGAGAGGGAAGCAGACATGACTGAGCAACTGGACAACAACATAAAATTTTCTTTTATAAAAAAGGACTTTTTCCACTTGCTAAAAAAAGCTTGAAAACCATCTCAAAGAATCATACAAACTCTAAAAAATAAAAACTATTCCCCTGAGAAAAAGAATGGCTGCTCTGAACACAAACAATTGGGAATCTTTTGTGTGCTGTGCTAAGTTGCTTCAGTCGTTTCTGACTCTGTGTGACTCTATGGAGTATAGCCTGCCAGGCTCCCCTGTTCATGGGATTCTCCAGGCAAGATTACTGGAGTGGGTTGCCAGTGAATCTTCCCAACCCAGGGATCCAACTCAAACCTCTTAAGTCTTCCACACTGGCAGGTGGGTTCTGTACCAGTGGCACCAACTCAGAAGACTGAATTCTCTGAACACAAAGGATTGGGAATCTTTTACCCCTAAGTAAAACCCTCTGCTTATTTAGCTTGTATGTACAGTGTATTATGTGAAACGCGGGGCTGGATGACGAACAAGCTAGAAACAAGGTTTTTGGAAGTATCAGTAACCTCAGATAAGCAGATGACACCACCCTTAAGCAGAAAACGAACAGGAACTAAAGAGCCTCTGGATGAAGGTGAAAGAGGAGAGTGAAAAAGCTGGCTTAAAACTCAACATTCAAAAAACTAAGATCACAGCATCCGGTCCCATCACTTCATGGCAAATAGATGGGGAAACAATGCCAACAGTGACACACTTTCTTTTCCAGGGCTCCAAAATCACTGCAGCCATGAAACTAAAAGTTGCCTGGTCTTTGGAAGACAAGCTATGACAAAATCTAAACAGCGTATTAAAAAGCAGAGACATTACTTTGGGGGCAAAGGTCCGTCTAGTCAAAGCTCTGGTTTTTCCAGTAGTCATGTATGGATGTGAGAATTCGACCATAAAGAAGGCTGAGTGCCGAAGAATGCTTCTGATGTTGAAGAAGACCCTTGAGAGTCCTTTGGACAGCAAGGAGATCAAATCAGTCAATCCTAAAAGAAATCAATCCTGAATATTCACTGGAGGGACTGATGCTGAGGATGATGCTCCAATACTTTAGCCACCTGATGCGAAGAGCCGACTCACTGGAAAAGACCAATGCGGGAAAGATCTAAGGCAGGAAGAGAAGGGGCCAATAAAAAAGGACAATTGGTTGGATGACATCACCGACTCAAAGGACATGAGTTTGCACCAGTTCTTGGAAATGGTGAAGGACAGGGAAGCCTGGCAATGCTGCAGTCCATGGGATCGCAAAGAGTTGGACATGACTGAGAGACTGAATAACAACAAAATCCTCTGAGTCAGGGGTTCTACAACTACTTATAACCAAGGACAAACAGATGTCCCAAGAGGCAGATATGAGTCAGCAGGGTACTTGTTCTTACCTGTACACCCATGACTCTCAAATTTACATCTCTAGTCTCTCCTCTCCTCCACTCCCTAGCTAGAGTGATTCATTCACTTCCCAATCACCTTAAAGCTCATCTTTTAACAGTGCTTCCTTGTAACTCACCTAGGATACAACTGCCAGATTAATTTTTCCAAATACGTGATATTTCACATAGTTTAACAGATGAATGCCAAAACTGTCATAGCAGCATATAAACTCTCTGGCTCTAGCTAGTCAAACTTACCTCTAATCATTTTCTAACATACTAGTCAAAATCATCCCTAAATCCCTAAAAGCTACCCTCATCTTTTTCTGTAAATCCAATGCCTAAAATTCAAGGATCACCTCCTCTGTAAATCACTCCCTAAGTCTTCCACACTCACGAATATATCTTTCCCTTCTCTATAAATTCTCATAGTACTTACACTTCATAATCTAGCAATATTGTCTGATAGAATTTTCTGTGATAATGGTAAAGTTGTGCATCTGTGCTTCCAATAAGGTAGCAGATGTTCAAGCTGGTTTTAGAAAA